AACGGTTATAGTTAGACATATAAGTATATATGGGATAAACATGTTTATAATAAACTTAATATTAAAAATGTAGCATCTTAAAATACTTAAATACAGTAGTTGTAAAACATATAAAAAAACAATAGTGATGGTATTTTTTATTATTATTTGCACAGTACTGAATATTAATAGACCAATACGAAAACTTGCCAAAGAAATATTTCATACTTAAAATATTTCACAGAAAATAGTACAACAAATAATAACAGTTGCATTCCTAAATCATCGGTTGCTGGGAATTTGTATAACGTCTTGTAAGTGACACAACCTCTAACACAATGTCTCACCATCTACAAAACATTAATTTATTAATTATATGCACTAGTATTTTTAAATCATAATTATTATTATTTACTTACTTTATTATTTCAAAAAAATTTATAATTAAATCACTTTGATCATTTTTTGCTTTATCCTTTTTCTAATATTGGGCGCAAATTAGTTTTACTACTTTTTAACAATCAATTGCCCGGTAATTTGTTTTTAAATATAGCGCAGTGCATTCAAATTTTTTGTCAAGAAATCAAAACAGAGAACCAAAATTATGCTCCCTGTCATTGCCCATAAAATTTTTCTTAAGAGTAACTTAAGGTTCTTATTCGGAGCAAGTTAAGATCCGTATTCGGAGCGAATAAGGATCTAAATTTGCTCAATTTGGAAATAATCGTACGTTTTGAGATGGTATTAATGCAATTTTTGAGAGTGTGTTTGTTATTTTTTGTTGTGCTCATTTAAGTTTCCGTTCTATATAAAATCTTCTTTGCTTTTAATGATCTTTAAAAATATTTTAATGATCTTTAAAAATATTTTGAAATTCTTGGAAACTAGGAATTAAATTCTAGTAAATTCTGAACTGCTATTTGTCATAATCTTTACTAAATCTTCAATATTTAAGTGCAGAATTTAACTCATTGCCGCTAAAAATTTTCTATAGAGTACGCTATTTATTTAGTTTAGAACCGAATTCGGTCCGAAAACGGTTCTAGGGAATGTAAAGTTGAAAATATTTGTGTGATTTGTGGGCAATTTTTGAGAATAAATTTATTATTTTGTTCCGTTCACAATAAAGTTTCCATTCTTTTCATGTTCCTATATCCATTCAATTCCTGTCTTAAAAAGTTATTATTAGGTTGGTTCTGTTGTGTTTTGTTGTTATTATTGTTACAGTTTTTACTTCAATTCAGTTTTTAATAATTGGCATTGGCATCGTAAAATCAAGCAAATAATTATTTTTGATCTGAATAAGATTAAATTTCGCAATGGAACTGTCACAGTTAGAGGAAACAAAAATTGTAATTAAGTCGCTTCTTAAATGCCATCAGCATGAAGTTACTGTAGGCAAGCTAAGTCAAGACTTTTACAAAAGTGAAGGATATCAAATACCCTTTGCAAAACTAGGTTATTCAAGTTTAGAGACTTTTTTGCGATCTCTCGGTAATCTAGTAGAGGTATAAGAATTTTACATCTTTGATATAAACAACTGATATTAAATGATTTCAAGGTTTGTGGAAAAGGTTACAGTGCAACTTTAAAGTTAATTCAAAATGAAAACCTTGCTCTAAACTCTGTAAGCTTGGCCAGTAATGCTAGTAATAGGGAGTTAACTGCAGATATTTTTACTGAAATTCAGGATGAAAAACCTACAGTGAACTTACGCAGAAAATCAGAAGATGATGTTGACTTGCCTCCCAAATGCATGAAAGATTTTAAGGTTTGTAATTTAGTTTCAAGTATCCTATTGAAATGTACTTTTGACGTTAAATTTAATTCTGAATTAAAATACAGTTAATAAGATTTATTTCAAACTTTAAGTCACTCATATAAAAAAACCCTTTCAAGTACGCATTCTATAAACACTTATTATGCACAATTGTCCAAACTACTATAAAACAAAATGTTCGATTGTTTGTGTCAGAAATTACCAGAATCTTCAACAACTTTTAAGAAAGATCCTATTAATCGAACTATTGTATAAGAGAAATCATGTAACGGGATACTGTGACGATTGTTAAAACAGATAAGACGCAATAGATATAGAAGCTACTTTACTTATGATTTGTGTCTCCACTTGGTATGTTTCTAATGAGAAATTTCCCCTTTATCTTCAAATGTCCACAGTAATAGAAGTTGAAAGGCGTAACATGTACAGTGAAGAACATAATTATTGGCACAGCAGGCGTATTGAAATTCAACACTGTTTTAATATGATATTAAATTTATTTTATTTTATTATATTATTTCTTATATTTAATTTAATATTTAAAAGCCAAAAAAATGAGTACAATTGTTGTTGTTTCCAATCCAAATTTTAAATTGGAGAATGAGAGAAAAAACAATATGGCTGTTCAAACTCAGTCATGAGAGCCGGCGTATTTGTGCCCCGGCACTAAGTTAAACCAGTGTTTAGTAATAAATTTCAAAATTTGCGCCCTTTAGGAGCAAATTACTACAGTTCTAATACGTTTTGGGAATAAAATCGCAGTAAGCAAAATAGCCTTTTTTGTAAACCACTAATAATATAATTATTACACTTTCTGATTTTAAAGAAACGGATAAGTACTGTTAACAATTATTATAAGATGATATAATAATAAATTAACATTATTACAGCGTCTATAAGTTTTTTCTTGCTACAAGTTGAAAGTAAGCATACCTAAATTTCCTTTTAAATTTAGACACATCCAAGAAGTAATAAATATACAAAATTGACAATACTGATGTATTGTCTGATTACTGATACTGATTCTGGCATAGCCAGAAAGAGCGAATTTTGCCGTGCATAACATGGCCCTTAGTCTGAACAAAATTATTAGCACACTTAGGTTTTAATGAAGTCTTAACACAATTTCATCAATCTGATAACTTCTTTCTGGAAAAAACATGTTATTCCTATATTGTAGTTACCATAAATGTTTTTTAAATTTGTTTTTTTATATTTGCAAAAAGTTTGGCAATAATTTGGTTATCACTGTATGTATTTCGCCTTCAGGTTCACCCGAAGTTACTCGCCAGGGAATTAGTCCAACTTCAAGAACATGGTTTCGACTGAAAAGATTTCAGTTGAATATTTTAATTATTTTAAAATTTTAAGTCAATAGAATCAAACAGCGATCTGATATCCTCCTAAAATGAAGATACTCAGTATTATTTGGTGTTTTAAGTCAGTGCAAATAACTGGGAGTTATTAAAAATAAATTATTAAAGACAAAAAATCACTGTGATGTAAATAAATGTATTGTGCATTGCTTTAATGTTTACATATATATATTTAGGCTTTATATAAATTTTAGCATGGCTTGGGGTTTGTTGTTTTATAATTTATTTGAAGACAATAATACCATCTAATTGAGAAAGCTTTCTCTAAGCTTTCGAAGCCTACATATGTAAACGACAGATATCAGTGTCGTATATTTCCATCCTATTAAAGTGATACCACAGACTAAAATAATTCGTAAAGGGACCCAATAAAATTTTTGATTCTACTCTGCGCAGCAAAAGTTTATTGCTTAATATTTCTATTGCTGGGATAATAAATCGTAGGCTTACACTATTGAACCAGTGATCTGCAAATTTATTTTCTTCATATTTCTTGACAACGTAATTGAATGAATTTTTTGTGAGTCCCCAAAAAGTTATAAGATCAATTGAGGGCACATCTCTCTTAGCTAGAGACAAATTGCAATGAAACTTTTCATTGCTATCATATTTTGGGACTCAGTTTATCATTACAGTATTGAAATTCTCTAACATATTGAGAATTCTTAGACAATTTTTGCTATTTTTGATGTTATCGCAGTCTGGTGGAGTATGCGAAAGTGGATTCTTAACATTCTTTTCATATTCTTCGATAACATTCTCTCGAATATATTGCAATATATTGTAAAAGGTTACTAAAAGAGAAAATGCACAAGTCAAAGTAGAGTACTTATCGCTTGACAAGATAGACGGACGGGGGTGAAGCACAACACCCGTTTATTGAAGGATTAGCCCCCAAAATAAGATGGAATAGCTACGTCTTTAGCGTAGCTACTGGGGTAGATATTTCTCTTCGCAACTTGTGGGAACAAAATGGATTTAAATGAAAATTTAATAAATCTAAGCAAGTCGAAGTGGTTGACGCTGATAAGGTGGACAATGAGGCCTCACAGGCCGATCTGATAACCGTAGCTTCAGATACTACGACGCATCGCAGTCATGTAACCACTGAAATGGTGAACGAAGAAGCCCCTGATCTCGACTTAGCAATGACTGATCTCGACTTAGCCGAGCGTATCCTTCTGAATAAAAGGGAGAAGCAAAAGCGAAGAAGACAAAGGCAAAAGGCTGCAAAAGTCACAAGATCGGTTGAACAACTAGCCGATCGCTTTAGCGAACTATGTGGAATCATCGCTGGAGAATGAACACCTGGCAAAGGGGCATAAGGGTGGTTGCCCTGATACTCCGACAGTTCAACTCCTTCAACTAAGATAATAGTCAAGCTAAATCGGCGGTCAAAGACCCAACTAAAACACCGGGGGAGTACCTAACCAGGTACTCAACCGACCCGCATTGGTTGGTAAAAGGACTGTTGGTAGGCGTGGTGCACAACCTTTAACGGCTGATAACGGCTGACGCAAATCGGACTTGGGATAAGGAAAAGCGGACAACCCATACAGGGTGTCAACTAACCAAAACTTATAGGTCAGAAGGCTGGGGTCAAACAAGGTGGAAAACCAGCAGCGGTTGCTAGCCAAGTGGAGTCGCAAACTAGGATGGCGGATCAACTGCCTAGCACCAGAAAGACTGCAAAAAAGCAGAACTCTTACAAGCAGGCAGTAAGAGGTGCAAACGATGGCAATGCTCATAAGAAGTCCAACATCCAGGCAGTCAGGACAGATCTCAATATGGGTATAATTGATTTAAGAGTCGAAGGACCTCTGGGCGAGAACCAGAGGTGCTTTCAAAGCACCTTTGTTGAACACCGTGGAGCCGCTAGATGATGGAATAGGTGACATTGGGTTTATAGTAATGCTTGCCTTGAGGATGGTTACATTACCATTAAATGTAAAAACCAGCAATCCATGGCTAGTCAGCACGGTAACTAAGTTGGAACGCCTTTGGAGATTATTCTTATTTGTCTACGACTCTACTGTAGGCAGGGAAAGTATTCTCAGCAGACCACAGAAGCAAAACGGCTGTGTTAAAGACACTTCGAAATGGAAGGTCACTAACTTAAGTAAGTTTGACGATGCAGGCAATGCTGGCGTTATGCTTATACTGTGGTGCTCTAAAGAAGACGCTGAGGCGATTCAGACCGCAGGGAGTAGGATCTACTATTGATTCAAGAGCCCTGGAATGTTTAAAACGCAATTAAGAAACTCGGTACATCATGTCACGCTGTACTTTTCACAGATAGGTGGAGAAATAAGGGCATGCATTATGATGCATAATGGAAGGGGATAATCTACATCCAATTGCCTCATCTATGCTTACCAGACTTTACTACGGTAAAAGTAGAGAGCGATGCAAACACCTTATTGTGGCATTGACCGGACTGCCATCACACGCTACTGAACTACCCCCAGGGGAGTATTGCAGAACGAAAAGCATAGAAATCGTCATGAAATGCGATGCGAACGCACGCAACATTGTGTGGGGTAACAGCAATAGTAACAACATTTCAACAGTATTGCTTTCAAATAATTCAAATACAGAAAGTGCGAGTGTTTAAATCTAAAATTTGCAAAATGACATCCTCATACTTAGATGCTTAAAATTCCCCTGCTTTTGTTTGAGCTTAGAAGTGTATTTTAAATTACTTCAATCTTTAATATCAATACAAAATAAAACAACAAATTGCGTCAAACGAATAAAAGCCAAAAATGAGTGTTCAGCCTTCTCCCCCTGAGCACGAACTAAACAAGTTATTGAGGGAGTAAGTATACAAACAAATAAAGTCACTAATTTGTGGCCGTCTTCTTCTGCACGCAAAAGTGATCTTCTCATAGCGCATGCACATCAAAAACTTTTTCATCGAGTGCTAAATGTGGATCTTCATTGCTAAATTCTCCATCAACAAATGTTTCACAGCAATGACATGTATCAGAAAAAAAAGAAAAATGTTTGTAATCAAAAATTACCAAATTGAACAACAAATACTTACGAACACTTGAACAACCTTTAAAGTGCTTCCAAACAAGACAGCGGCAATAAAATTCAGAGAGGAATAAATAGATACATTCTTATTACAAAGAGGAGACGCAGCCCTATGACAAAACCAACTAGTCAAGTAACAAAACAAACAAAATTAGTTCAAAACCATTCCTCCTTAAATAAAAGGAGGCTCCTTTAAAAGGACATTTTAACGGAGATAACATACATTATGGGCGATAAACATTTCTACGTGATTACACTCTTGAAAAGAAATGTAAATAGAACTAATACTCATAAAAAAGACTTATTTAAATAAAGAAAAACTATACACTTCTCTGATTTCAATAACAAAAGCTATTACACCTATTAGTTAAAAAGTAGCAAAGCTTTAAATGTGGTAATTAAAGATGTAGAATATTTCGTACCGGAATCCGATATAAAAGTGACCTTGATAGAAGCGGAATGTGAAACAAAGTCCATCTTTAATATTAAAAATAAAGATAATATACCTCAACCAATATATAAATGTAAAAAAATCTCGCTACAGGAGAAGTATACCCAATTTACAATCTTCGTTAT